ATTAAAGCTGAAACTTGTTTGAAAGCATCTTCAGGTAATTTTCTGTTCTAAATTGTTGAAATCATCCCCCCCATGTAGGGTTGGGCCACTGTAGGGAATGAAAGTTAACATAGAATATATAGGAAAAATCTTTCAAAATATTCATCTCTGTTTTGAAGAACCAATGGGTCTGAAAAGCTGAAACTTACATGATCATGATGATAAAAATGAAGATATGATAAAAATGATGATATGATAAAAATCATTTTAGTTTAAATTATAAAATATTTTAACCCAAAAGGTTGTGTAATGCAGGCACGTAACAACGGGGGGTGGGGGGGGGGGGGGGGGCTCCCCCCCCCCCCCCTTTTTCCAAAACATTACTTTAATTTTTGGAAATGTTAATTGAAAGGCTGGTTGGCCCCTCACTTTATACTAAAGGAAATTGATATCAGGAAAATTTATAGTATTTAATTCCCCCTAAAATGGTACTGAAAAAAAGTTGGCCTCTACCTGAATGTTCTCTCTATTTAATTTTTACAGTCAGAAATGGTGCCATGGACCCAAAAATTGTGCCCAGGAGTTGATACGATGTGATCTGTGCAAGACTGAAATTGTGCTGGTTCTCTGTGATACATGTCATTTCAAACTGTGTAAGGACTGTATAATAGAACACACAACTTTTGGTGACTCCTTGAAAAAGCATGAAATTGTAAAATTCACTGTTCAAAAATCAATACCACTTTACCCTTTTTGTACTGTTCATAACAAAGAACATTGTGAAATGTACTGTAACCAATGCGAGATTCCTGTCTGCATCGCCTGTATTGCATCTGATCAACTTTCTGGTATAAATTCTTAAAAATCTTGGATGTTTTGGAGGAAACGAAACAGAAGATCATCAAAGAAAAAAATGAATTGAAGGATTCAATATATCCAAAATACGAACAAATTGTATCTGATGCAAAAAACACCATACAACAGTTTGAAAACAATGTGAAGGCCTCTCAGCAGCCATAACAAAACATGGAGAGGAATGGCACAGAGAAATTGACAAAGTTGTCACAAAACTAATAGCTAAGGTGGAGGAACTGAAAACAAATCAGCTACAACTTCTGCAGAAACATCTGGATGAAATCAAAAAGATCATTTCTGAAAACAGGGATGAAATTAACTCAATAGATGATGTTTTTGGGTTCACGGGACTTTCAAAATACGATTTCACATTAAATGTAGATAAATACAGAAAATTTCCACGACCAATTGTGCTGCCATCACCTAAATTGATCACTCCTATGAAAATCTCAGGAGATGAACTTTGTAGCCTGTTTGGAAACTTTCATTGGGTAAAAGACATGAAATAACACAAAAATTATCAGAAGCTGTATCATCTCCTAGCCAAGCTGCTACTTGATGAACCAGAAATCATCGCTACTATAAACCGAGGTACAGAATTAATCTTACAAATGTGGCCTATTTGAATGATGAAGAAATCTGGACAAGCGGAGAGGAAAACACCATGAAATTATTCCATATAAATGGGACTCGCCAATCATTTCAATCAGAACAAAATCGAGAAACAGGCCCTTTGATATAGCAGTAACAAGAGATGGCAATCTTATTTATGCTGATTTCAGTGAAGGAACTGTGAATATTGTGAAGAAAGAAGGTACAGATATTGAATCTATAATCAGATTGCAGGATTGGAAACCTTTAAATATCTGCAGCACCTCTTTAGGTGACCTCTTGGTTGTTTTGGAAAGTATTAATAAAAAACAATCAAAGGTTGTACGTTTCTCTGGTTCCACAGAGAAAAATACCATACAATATGATGATAAGGGGAATCCTCTTTATTCATATGGTAATACTAAATGCATTTGTGAAAATAAGAATCTAGATATCTGTGTAGCTGACTTTAGAGCTGATGCAGTTATAGTCGTCAGCGAGGCAGGGAAATTGAGATTCAAGTATGTGCCACATATCACTACTTCAAAAAACCAATTATTCAGTCCAAGAGGAATAACCACAGACAGTCAGAGTCACATCCTTACAGCTGATATTACTATTAACTGTGTCCACATCATAGATCAAGATGGACAGTTCATCTGTCACATAGACTGTGGATTGAACAGTCCCTGGGGATTATGTGTAGACACAAAGAATAATTTGTTTGTTGCTGAATTTAGAGACAAACAAGTGAAGAAAATAAAGTACCTGAAGGAAAGTTGAACAATGAGCTGCAATAAAAATCTGAAATACAATTAACATACCCCGGTATTGTATATTGATAATCATATCATAAAAATCTTATACATGTTGGTCAACAGTAATCCATCAATGTTCAGATGTTTGGATAATAGTATCATGCACAAGCACCTGACTTTACTTATTTTTCTTTAAATAATATACATGTACAATTATTGCTGTTTTTCTTAGGTCAATATGATGATTTAGACACCTGAGGAGTACAATATTGATCACTGAGCCCGAAGGTTGAAGTGAATATTGTATACTTTGAAGGTGGCTAAATCATCGTATTGACCGCAAAAACCAGCAATAACTGTTTAATTATATGATTATATATGATAGCAAACTCCTACAAGACTGTTTCTTTGCTTTAATTAAAAGTTTTGAGCCAAATTTCAACAAGAACACATTGTAACAGAAAAAATGGAACAGGTCAATAGAGGATATTCAATGTTTTGTTGTTGAATATAGAATTTATTTCACGAGTGGGACAGGATTTTTGATATTTTCACGAGTGCGAAGCACCGGAGTTCGAAAATATACAAAAATCCTGTCTCACAAAGTGAATGAATTCATATTCAACTACAAAACATTGGAATTTTCTATTTATTACATTTACTTCATTTTCCCTTTGCCTACGTCTTTCATGTAATGCAGTTTTAGGCTACATGACGTCATAGTTAAGAGAACGTCATAGCTAAGTGATAAACATTGTAAACATGAATTTTGCAACATATTTGGGGAACTTGCTCAGAGTTTTATTTTATGACATAATGGTTCATGAACTCGTTTTTCTATCTTATAACAGGTTAAGGAGTATTTTTTACAACATTCTTGGTGAAGGGAAGGAAATCGAGAGTTTTTCCGCACTTCTGATATTCTTTCACACTGTTGAAAGGATATCATTTTGATATCCTTTCACACCGTGGCAGGATATCACTTTTATCAATGGATAAATTACAGTATTTCACTGTTAAAAATGTAATAAATAGTATTATTCCTTTTATTATATAGCTAATAAATAGTCACTAATAAAATACATTGTACTACCAAAAATCTAGAAATTTTCACGTTCAATTTCTTGACGTTTTATTGATCGCTGACTTTGAAATTTGTTCTTGTCTATTAAACAGTTTTACGTGTGAACATCTTATTTTCTACATTCATCTACATTCACAAAATTATATTTCAGCTGGTAAAAGGATTTACTCCTCTTTAGGCCAAAATAAACTAGATGCTGTCATGAGACAGTAATACCCGCACTATGGTGTTTGCCTCTAAATACACACTCCTTCATATTGGACTTTCCAAGGAAAAATAAAATAATTCTATAATTATCACCGTACATGTATTCGTCAAATTGAACATAAAATTTTCAGATGACCATGTCGACTCTGAGCCTCACATATGTATTTTAAAATACTTAATTCATAACCAGTCTGAAATAACAGAATTTAATTAATGATTGAAGTAAATTACTTAATTAGATTCAAATAAATAATTTCCCCATAATTTGGAACTTTTTAAATTTACTTTCTCAACGACATAAAATATTATTTTAGTACAAAGCGTTTTTGATGAATTTATCAAAATGTGCAAACTGATTTTAGTATTTGGTGGAAAAAAACCCATTGAAAATACAACCCGATTAATTTGTCAATGCCTACACCCCCCCCCCCCCCCCACACACACACACTCTCTCTCTCACATTTTTTAAAAAACATAGTTTAGTTTATTATGATAGTTTGAAATTTGTTCTTGTACTAAACAGTTTTATTTTCTACATTCACATTGGGTTTGCCTCACCCATTATCATATTTATAGATATCACCTCTCGGCACACCTCGGCCAATTCATACTGGCAACGGAATCAGCAAAGGTTTGTCGAATGAGATTACAGTATAATTTGTCCAATCTGGCTACCGCCGGTTCCATAAAATTTGGCCGGATTAGACAGAATCCGGAGTGCAGGAAAAATGCAGGAAAATATAAATTTCGAAAGTTTTCGTTGTTTATTTACAAGTACATCATATACAAATTATAAATAAAATTAAATGATGAAATCAATTTCTATTTTGGAGTGTAGAAATTATAAGATAGTCTCACATGACTTACTGTATTTTCTTATTTGTTCACGAAGTTTGAAAGTCGGGTGAAAAACACTGAAATGTTACCTCAATCAAAATATACAGGCATGCATAATATAAGCCTACTATGTATCAAGCAGACCGGGTTTCGCTTGTCAAAGACCTCATTCAATGTATTAACAGTAATGCACAATTATTTACGATGTGCTAATTATTAGATTAAACTTTTAATTTTATGTAAAAAAAAATTACGTCTTCCTCAACAGTGTTATGGCGCCATTTTGAAATGCGTTCGATTTTCGATCCCGATTTATATTTTGATTTGTAAGTCGCGCGTACATATATTTTTGTGTTTATGTTATAGTGTGGTAAAAAGAGTTAAAACAAAGTTAATTTTTTAAAATTGTAATTTAATCATAAAATATATTTTTCAAGTGGACTGTGTCACCGCCGCATTTGACCGAGTTCGTCTCATGGCACTAATAATCATGTTAATGTAAACACAGATTATCACATTCCCGTCGAAAGGTGATAATTGCTTTGAAGTAACCCAGGTGTGGCCGGATTAGAGGGAATAATTACCGTTAATTATGATCAGCTGGGACCAGTATGGCCGTTCGGAATACAGAATAGACAGTATCCGGACTACACAGAATTTTTTAAAATGAATTTGTTAAAGAAGTGCATGGGACTAAAATTTACGGACGGAATGGACAAAAGTCCGGAGTACTCAGAGTCCGGATTAGACAAATTTTACTGTATTTAGCACATGTATGCTGACGATGCAGTGTGGTCAGTTAAAATCATTTGTGTTTTAATTGGATTATATGGATTATATTTCATGAATTCGTTGTCACGACCTATGACATTCGGTAAGTACAAGATTTAGTATAGATTGCATGAAAATAAATAAATGCAAATGGTTAGGTTGAAGTTCAAAAAGGGTCAACATGGTCAAAGATCATCGCATGCCACAGTCGACAAATTTCACATTGTCAAGTTATCTCCCGTTGTGGACATTCAGTATATAACAGACGCAGATCCAGAATTTTTTTTTTCAGAAAGGGGGGGGGGGGGGTGTCACACCTCAGTCAAAAAAATCAGCCCAAGATTTCCTGAGATGGAAATAAAAAATAATAATAAAAACAATGATGGTGGAGTCCCTGTTTTCTAAGGGGGAGGATGTCCAAAGTAATTTTTATTCTCTACAGTACATATATAGTCTTATTTAAATAACTGCTAATTCCAGGGGGGGGGTCTGATCTCCCTAGCCACTGACTCCCTGTACCTGAAATGACAATTGATCTTATGACTCCATAATAGTAGAAAATTTTTTCATTTGACTATTTATACATATTTTGTTTCCTATGTTTATGTATTTTTGTCTGTCCACTGAAACTTTAACCTTGCCCATATTTTTTAAGTGGATTGGGCTATACACATGGCTTCAATATTTCATAGGTAAATTTCTTTTGGCAAAACCTTTTAATGGGTACCACCAATTTTGACCTCTTGATCTCTTGACCTTGGAGTTTGACCCAATTTTACAAGAAAAATACCTTGAACTTGGCGTAAGTTTTGAACAGGTGGTGCTAGGACTTTCATGCTCTTACATGTGTAATCATTGTGAACTTTCAACAGGTATAATTATTTTTGACCTAGACCTTAGAGTTGAATCCAATTTAACTTTAACCTTGGCAATAACTTTTGA